TTCATGAAAATCTCATTTTCTTTTGGAATTTTCTCAGCAGAAGCCAAGGGACAGGTGAGCCTGGAGACCCAGATTCGATCCACAGTACCTAGTAACAGTGAAGTTGGAAAGTCAGAAAACTAGCTTTCTCTCTAGTGGTCTTCCTCAGTATTCTTCTTCCTAAATTCATTCAATGAAGCACATTTCATTCCACAGAGGGTATCATTACCACATTGTCTGCAGATAAGCAGGCATCAGGCTTCATTTCTCAGGGCACCCAGTAGGCTACCTTCAGAGGAGAGGTGTCCTTGGGCACCTAGGTTCTTTGCCATCTTTCTGCCTTGATTTCCATCTAGTTCATCATCTGAATGTCCAAAGGAGGAGTCAGTCTGTCCATCTCATCCCCAGAATTCATTTCCAGTATTTATAATTCTCAACTTTCAACTGTTTGGAAACTCAGTTTCCACTAAGGAATCCAAGTCCATCTCTTAGGGTAGCAAGTCCCTTAAAGAAGCAGCTGTGACCCTGCTCTCTAATCCTTTAGTAATAGGAACTCAACTGCATCTTCACTCATCTTACTCACTCATGTGCTTATGGGACGAACTATCATAGGCACTAATATGTTAATGCACTGTTCCTTCCAGGTGAGATATTTTCATTTCAGCAAGGAACCTTCAGATATAACTTCACCCAAAAAATCAGGTCTAGTGGGGTCTAGTGGAAACTAGTGGAGACTGCCCACCACCAAGGGAGATGATTTAGATGCTCTTCAGATCACTTTCCACACAGGTGGCTGCCAACTTTGCCACATGAAAGACCAGCCCTGGTCAAATTCGATGATTTTATCAAGTTCTTTCTCTTGTTTTTAAAGTTATACAGTTATTTCTGAAGTTGATGGGACAATATTGATGCCAAAGCCAAAAGCTGGATGATGCTTCCTTATAACAGGTCACAATGTTCTTGGCTTTTCATCATTGGCCAGGGTTCCCGCCCCCCAGACAGCTGTGTGAACAGAGACTTGGTGACTGGCAGCCTCATGTTTACACCTCTGAATAAAAGACCCCTCATGAGATGTTCACCTAAGTGACCGTTATCATTCTAAACCGAGACATAGCTTCTTTTCCAGAAGGCAGATCTGAGCCAAGTCATTCATTTCAGCTCCTAACTCTGTGCTTTTTTCAAATAGGATTTTTCAGAAGCAAAAAAAATGCTACTGGTTGTGAAGTTTCTGCTTATTACAAGTTTTGTCTTTTAAAGACATGTGTCTGGGAAATGGCCCTTTACCTAGGTTAAAAACAAGCCTGACCCTTTTCTGTCATGAGCCAGCCTTCAGAATTCTCACTAACAAGCAGCACTCAAGGATGTTCACTGAATGCCATCCGAGTTTCAGGGGAAGAGGGTGAGATAAAGAAGCACCTAAAGTTTGTATTGACCTTCCCTTCATGTGCTTTCCTGGGATTGATGGGGCCACCTGTCCGCTTCTCATCAGGGCACTGCTTCTGTCCATGAGTGGTAGGAGATTTCCCAACTCACGGTTCAGCTGTGACTATGCCTGACACCACTCGCCCCCAGCACCCTCCACAGGGGCCTGGCAGAGGCACAGTTAATGCCAGTTCCATCAAAGGGAGTGGGAAAACTCTTTCTCAGGAATTAGCTAAAGCATTTGATATCCAGAACTCAAAGTCCATTGCAGAATACAGGACTCCCTGTTCCACTTGCAGCAATCAGTGTCTCCACATCCTTACCAGCAACCCCATCTTCAGCTACAGCCCAGGCCCGAGAAAAGCTTATAGTATTCTTTCTTATACACAAGCCTCCTCAAAAGGCCATCCATTGACAAGTAATTGAGCAACTTCTTTGCCTGTTTAAACCTATTAAAAACAGATATGTATATGTTTGGGATGTGATCAGGCCCACGGCATTTGATGGGTCTTCACTGAATGTAATGGAATGATTGAATTGGACAAAGGGGCAAGTAGATCCACAGTAGTTTTCTACCTGCAAGTGGCATGTCCTGGTTGTAAGTGGTGAGGGAGCCCTGGAATCTACCTCAGATGGGAAAGAGGTCCAGTCACCTGGCTGTCGGGTAAGGGTGAAGGAGGACATCCGTGCTATAGTTTTAGTAGTTATCCCACTGGAGCCTGAAAAAGGGCACCTCCCACAGGAGACATCAGGGATGCACAGTGGCCCCTCCTAGGAAGCCCTCTCCTCAAAGTCACTGACCAAATACACCAGTGTAGGTGGAAGCCTCTGCTGGAGTAATTCCTTCTCCCCAGTGTCCATCATTTGTTTTGTGTCATTAGTTCATGTGATTGGAATTTTGGTTCTATTTTATTACGTTTTATAATTTGTTTTGGTTTATTGATTTTGACAATTTTTAGTTTATTTTTGGAGATGAAAATGGATGTTCTATGTGAAAGCTGAGTTCTTTGTTTCTTTCTTTTGCCCGTGGCTGACTGCATGCTCTCTATTGATGTCTTGTTCCTGGTTCTTGAAAATGACCATCTTGTCTGGGAAAGGAGGAGCTCCAGCAGGCTTGCTCGATCAGAAGAAAGGGAAGTTTGCTTGGTTTAGTCACTCCACAGAAACCCATGGTAACGTTCCCCTGTGCTTTGTGTGTGTAATGTGTGTTGCTACATCCCGGACTGGATGGGAGGGTATTTTTCTTGATGGCTTGTGATGCCGTGGTCATATGTGTATATATGTGTGTGTATGTGTTTGTATGTAGGTTTGTGTTTTTGTGAGGGGATGGTAATCTGTCTCACTCACAGCCACTGCCTTGTCATCTCTTTGAATGTATAAAGTCAGCAGACATGGTAGTCAGCAGCTGGTCCTTGATGGAATCTTTCCTTTGGATAGTGCCAGCCAAGACTAAGGTCATGTAAATGCCAGCTTGGTACTGGTACAGGCAGTGCCTTGATTTAGAAGATAATATGGTTCCTCCTGATGCCTAGGCCTGCCTACTCCTAATTTGGTTGTCTTTCCACACCCAGCACCACCACCATCACATCACTCCACACCTAAGGGGCTCTTTGGGAGCAAAGTGTCACAAAGTTAGGTAGTTTTCTGTACACAGCTCAGTTCTTTAACTAACGATGCCTGAAGAGTTAAAGGAACCTTGGTCAGAAATGGCTAGAGAGAGATGGATCAAAAGACTGAAGGCTCTTCTGTTATATTACTTCTTCATTAATGGGGATGGACTAAGGAATTCTGAAAGTCTTATCTTCCCAGCTCCCAGTGCTAAAACTATCCCTAAGTCTGGTCTTGCTCTCCAGCTCCCTCAGACCTCGGGCTGTAAAGAGAGTACAGATGCTGCCAAATTCAACACCACCCTTTGACAACTCACCATGCTCCAGTGATGTCCCCACAGCCTGATTCGGCTTTAAGGACCTCATCTTGTCCTAGAGTGCAGGGAAGGGAGTTGGTCAACACTGGGACAATCTAATGAGCATGGTGCCGAGGGTCCTGACACTTGTGTTCCAGTCCAAGTCCTACCTCAAACACTGTGTGCCTTGGGCACCTGTCCCTTCCTTAGACCTCACTTCTCTTTCCTGTGAGGTGAAGGGGACAAGTTAAAGATAGATAACGTCTAAAGTCCCATCCAGCTCCAAATGTATTTAAAATGGCGCCTAGATTTCTTATTACCCAACTTGTTGAAAATGAGCCCTAAGGCTGAAAGTTTGCTCATACTTGACAAACACGTAGTAAGTCGTGGGCTTCTCTTTGTATCTTCAGTGTTCTTGAAATGAGTCTCTTCTCACCTGCCCATCTTGTGTTTACCCACAAGAGAAAAAACTGGGAAAGATCCATGTTCAGCAACATTATCCATTTAACCAGCAAAAGTCTTTTCCTGGGCTATGGTGGCTCCTTGGGGACTTGTCACGAGGTGCCACATCACCTGATGCCACACCCTCACTAATTGCAGATTCCCTGGCTGCTGAGGGCTAGTCATTTTCTCTCCACATGAGGAGTTGTACAAGGAGAGCTGAACCACCACCCATGCTATGAACAAGGGTTGGCACAAATAAGGAACTCATTGATATGTCATATTAGAAGGGTAACAGAAGGTAGAAAAGAAATAAAAAATAATAATAAAAGAAATGGCTTCTTCTAAGCCATCAAATGGGTTCCAAGGAGAAAACTCCTGCTGGTCTGAAAACTCAGCCCCAGCTGCCTCTGGGAGAGACTGGAGGTAGATGAGTAGGTTGGTGCTAGTGGAAGTAGGTGGTTTATATCCCAGGTCAGTCTATTGAGGTGGGAATGTCAAGGTTGCTGGAAGGGCGGATTGCTTTTGCAGTCTATCTTCAAGCCACAGTACAGCCAGTTTGCAGGGTTCCTCCTTCCTGAGGTCTGCAGTGCTAGTTTGAGCCTTAGTGCGTGATTTGCTCCAGCTCTCTGTGCCAGGTACTGCCCTAGACGTAACAGACTCAGGACCCAGTATGCACTGCAGGAAAGGGGCTTGCCTCTCTATCTAGCAGGTCGTGCAGGCAGCAGAAATGTCCTTTCTACAAGCAAACCAGACCCTAAGTTTGGGAATGGAGCCCCGTAGAATTGGTGGGTGGAAAACACAAGGGAAATAAAATATTTTCCGGAAAGCTCCCCTTTTATGGCAAGTAGTGGATGTGAAGGGAAAGGCTTGCACAGCTTCTCTGAGGGAATAGAGTTGAGGGTAGAGAAAGGTTCAATGGCAAGAGATTCCACGATGTCTCCTCCAAGTAAATGATCTTATCACCAGGTTTCCTTCCACAGTCCCACTATTTAGAGTGTCCTGGGCAGTACAACTTACCCTAGACAAGCAGCAGGCATGTTACTCCTCGTGGAAACCCTGAACCTGGCCAGGGCAGTGCCAGGGCCTCAGCCTGCTCCCAGCAGTACCCCTGCCCCTCACCAGCAGGTGCTGCTGGCTCCCCTCCTCCCAGAAGCACTCCTCCTGGGACTGGGTGGACTGCAAACTAATGCTCTTCTCTCCCCTTCTTCTCCCCACTCTCATGCCTTGTTCTGCATCCCTTTGACTCTTGCAGTGAGCATGCCCACAAGTGAGACGGAGTCTGTCAACACTGAGAACGTGGCTGGCGGTGACATCGAGGGAGAAAACTGTGGGGCCAGGCTGGCGTGAGTAGGCACTGAGAGCCCAGGGGCTGGGCTTTTCTGGGGGGTGGGCAGGGAAGCTGTGTCCTGAAGTCAGAATGGGATGGCTCATCCCTGGGCTGGGCAGAGATCAGAGCACAGCAGGAAACAGAAACCTGTGCAAGAAGCGGAGGGCTGGGGTGAGTACAGCCCCTAGGCTGGGAATGAGTCTTAAACTGAGACCACTCCTCAACTCAGCACTTCTGTAAGGCTCCAGCTCTTGGATTTTGAGCTCTTTTCCAACACATCAGAGAAATACAGAGAGTGTGTGCGTGGGATTGAGGGTGGTTGTGAAGTCTCTCTCTTTCCAGCTTCTCTCACCCCCTTTTACAAGAGATGGCTCTGTTAGGGTCCCTGGGTTCTGCTAACCACCCTTTCCATTCTGATAAAAGTGACCTGGAAGGAAAGCAAACAGGTCAGAAAATACACTAAGAGGTGATAAACACGGTCCTTGTCTGCATCTCTAAGTTACCCATCCAGTGAAGGGAAGCAGGTGCCTGAAATGCAAACTGGAGTTAATAAATTCACCTGTGCTTAGCCTAGACCACGGCTGGCTCCCCTAGCACAAGCCCAAGCCTAGATGTTCAGGATTCCCTTTCCCTGGGTTGAACCCCAGGCTCTGGCTTCAACAAGTTGACCTTGGCCTGGGATGGGGCCAGGTTTGAGGAGGAACAGCTCACACATGGATTATCACAATCACCCATCTTAGCCCAGTCTTAAAAATGGAAACCAGTAGTCCCTGAGAAATATGCCCCTTAAAAAAATAAGTGAAGGGAAAAAAATAGTTTACCTGCTAAAAATAAGCAAACTGCTGGTTTCATTGCCACTGCCTTAGAAAGCGGAGTTCAAAGATTAAAATCGTGTTCTGCCAGGGAATCATATTGACCTTGAGCATGAGGCCTCCTCCTGGACAAGTCAGGTTCCGCTTTGGGAAGTGGAGACTGCTTTTGTGAAGTGGAGACTGCTTTTCTACTGCCTGGGAGGTATAAGAACTGTAAACTCACCTGGACACTGGGGGGCATTGCCGAGGGAAGGCTCTGAGTAGGACCAGTCAAAAAAAAAACAAGTTTCTAGATCACTGTATCAGTAAAACAGCATCTTCTCTCCCTTCCTCTCTGAAATGATTCAATGGTCTGGGCAAACCCAACCCTTTTCAAAAGGTTAGCTGAGTCTAAACATAAGCGACGCTGGCCTCAAGAATGACCTGTGGGCCGAAGGAGAAGGGAGTCAAGGCTTAGGCACAGACCAGCTCTGTGACCTGTTTCCAGGGTTCCCAGGGCCTTCCGAATCACTCACTGTGACAGCGGCACCGGGGAGTCTGCACTGCAGGTTTCTCAGCATTGTTGGGAAGCAATTATTGTCAAACTGTTGTTAAAATACAGTGCTAATTACATTTTTAAGCAGCAGTCCAAGCCTTTCCCCCTTTTTCTTCTTTTGGAACTATACAAAACAAGCAATTGAGTTTCTAATGTGGGCCCCAGTCAGCCACATTAGGGAGAGCCTTTGAAGTCCATCCATTCTAGGGCTTTCTGTGATCTTGACACCAAGGGGGGTTGGAGAGAAGATGATTCAGGACCCTGCAACTCTGGCTTTTGGGCATGGCCCAAGGTACAGGCCAGGAGGGACAGAGGACCTGGCACCAGGAAGCCACTGGGGAGTACATTTCAGGAGAGCACAAGGCTCTGTTGGAAGAACACAATTACCTCCCACAGAGGGGAGCTGGCAGTCTCTCTCGTATCTGTTATTGCCTTGAGGACATGCTCTGCAGGCTTCCAGAGCTCTGTATAAATAGTCCCTGTTATCCCCACGAATGTCCACATTTATACACCTATGCTATGCATATAAAATACCTACCTGGTCATGGTGCCAGAATTATAATACATTTCTAATAAATGATGGTCTTTCCCCATCTCTCACCCCCTTCCCCCACCTCAGACAACTATGGGATGAGACTGCCAACATTCCTGGTAGGAGAGATGGCGTGAGAACAGGCTGGAGGCAGAGAGCAGTGTGTGCTAAGGAGACAGTGAGAGGCCAGTTGTATAGAGATGGAGTCACACGTTTGAGGTTATCGGTATAAAAACTATTCATGAAGTCATAGAGCAGAGTTGTTCTTAGAGGAATGGAGGCAGAACCTCGGGACACGGACACACGGTAGAATAAGAGCAAGCGTATGAAACAGGTGAGGAGGGGTTAGGGGAACAGCAGCACTTGCGGGAAACCACTGGAGGAAGGACGTCAAGACAGAGCTGTGTACTTGTGCTAGGCGGCAGTGTGCCCAGCGTGGAGCTAGGCTCTGGTCAGGAGAGCAGTAGAGCCCGTCGACACCCTCTCATTGGAGTCATAATCTGTGTGAAATTGACCTTCATTAAGTAAATGAGTCATTGAAATTGGGGTGAGTTAAGAAGGAAGAGTAACTATAGTGTGGGGTTAATGACAGAGGGAGGGACCTGACTTCGACTAGCAGGTTAGGAACAGTTCCTGGGCAGAAATAAAATTTTGGCTCGGAACTGAAGGATTGAACACACATCACTGAGGTGCAGAGCAGGAAAGAGGTTCCAGTCAGGCAACAGCGCATTTCAAGGCCTTGAGTGGAGGAACGGAGGGAAGGCCGGTGTGGCCAGTGTGACACGAGTGGAGACAGGAGTCGAGGCTGGAGATGGGGCCGGGCCCGGTAGACCCCTTGATGATCTTAGTCTTTGTCAGAAGACTGAGAAGTCATGGAATGTGGAGCTGTGGGTTTGGTTAGTTTTGTGTCCTTGACGGGTCACTTTAAGAAAAGAATGAGAAGGAGTGAGGCCCGTAGGGAAGCGGCACAGGAGGGAAGGGCCTGGTGCCAGGTACCCAGGCGCGAGATGCTGAGGTGACGGTGCTCGAGCTGGAGTCGCCTGCGGGGATGGGAGGGAGTGGGCGGACTCTGCTCTGGAGCTGACCGTGGGAGCTGAGTCTCAGTGAAGGAGGGGCGTGGAAATGGGCCAGCACAGGGCACGCACTCCGGAAGAGTGGCCATGGAAGGGAGAGAGAGGACAGATCTTAGAAAGAAGAGGCTTGTTTTCATCGTGGTAAAGAGATGATTTTTAAGGCAATAAAGAAGTCCACGAAAAGGGAGGGGCTAAAAGCTCTGGAATGGAAATGAGGGCTTCTAGGAAGGAAGTGCTTAAGAAGGGGGGCTTTGACTTCAAAGACAGAGTTTGAGACACTTGATATACACAGGAATAAGGAGCTCCTTTACCTCTGGGACTAACTGGAAGATGGAAGAAGACACCTGACATCAGGAGCCCTAAGGTGCAGCACTAATTAGCCCTGTGACCTCAGCCAACACTGCTGCTCTGAGTCTCAGTCTAGTCCTCCAGGAAAGGAAGGGTTGGCCTGATGGTTGCCTCAGGGCTCTCTCAGCAGAGCTGAGGGGCCCTGGGAACCGCCTGCAGGGCTAGTGCAGGAGACCGCTCTTGCCTCTTTTACATATGGGGCTCCCATGTAAGATTTCACATGAATAAAGCACTCTACTACTTGATAAATTGTGAACCATAGATCCAGGTGGCATCTAAGTGTCCTTCCCAGCTCTCAAAGCCTACAGTTCTATAAAGAAGATAGAATCAGAAACAGGCTCTGCTGAAGAGAGTCAATGATAGGAGTCATACCAAATGATCTGTCAGCTCATCACAAAAAGTGGGGGTAGGTGTCCTAGGAACCTGAAGGACAGGAGTTCAAACTAGCGAGTCACTAGGAGGTCACAAACAGATAGCTAAGCAGTGCTGAAGCTGTGGTGGGGACATATCGTAAATGTGAGGTCAGCTGCAGAGCAATTCGACACTTTTTGGCAGGCTTTTTGGCCTAGAAACACTAAAAACAGACAGTGGTGTGAACCAGGGTGGGGTTTGCCAAGCAGGCGCAGCAGAAGGCCCAGGCAGTGGGGGTCTGTGTGGTGTGGAGAGAAACCCTGACGTGACTGTGGGCCAAGCTGAGAACTGGAAGTCTAGTATGCATTAGCCTGGGAGCCCTGCGAGAGTGTGAGTGATTGGGACAACACAGTGAGGGCAAAGGTTGTGTTCAGTGAGAGAGCAGGAGGGGTAATAGAAAAGGAGACTCTGGCCAGGGATGGGGACAACTGAGTTCAGTACCTAGTAGCTGATGCAGTGCTCTGCAGTGACCCTTCTAGTAATAACAGCTGTGGGTGGTGTTGCAGCTATAGAGCCCAGGAGGTTGAGTCAGGTGTGTGTCAGCCTGGATGGTGACTCCAGTGCCCTCTGATTTGTGTTAAAGGCAAATTGGGGCAATTCCAGCAAATACCACTTCACACAGCAGGTAGTAAACATATGGTGCTCTTTACTCTAAGGAGGGGAGAGAAGCTGAAAATATAAATAGCTCCCAAGAAGTTCAAATATTTGTCAAATAATGACAAATGCAAATTGAGTAACTAAGCAAAACAGAAAGAGTTTGGGGGTTTTCTCCAATTTTGAACCTTAATTTAAAAAAAAAACAACCCATGGTTCCCTAGAAGATTTGTCTTGGAGGCCTGGGTAGAGAACATACCTTGGATTGAATGGAACCCAGGTCCAACCCAGTGGAACTGTTCTGATCGTCTTATGTGCTAAATGCTAACTTTCTCCACATCCCTGCTCTTTAAGAATCCACTTAAAACACTAGATAGGGATGAATAGAATAGAAGAATAGAATAGAATAGAATAGAATAGAATAGAATAGAATAGAATAGAATAGAATAGAATAGAATAGAATAGAATAGAATAGAATAATAGAATGGATGATGGAAAGAGCCAGTAAGCCTTCTGAGCAAGTTGCACATGCCCCAGTGGGGTTTGGAGAAGCTGGAGGCCTCTACCGTTCAGTAGGAGGAAGCATCTGCCACGTGTGAAGCCCAGGGTGTGCCGCAGTGCTATGACACAAAGCCCCCGCCTGCTTACTCACACAGGGGACCGGTGTGATCGCTTTCCAAACCCTGAGCTGATGTCACCTCCCAGGAGGTGAAAGGCTGCAGAGCAACAGGGTCCCTCTGTTTTCCTGAAGCGGGTCACACTGTCGACTCACACCTGCACAGGGAGAATGGAGGACTCAAGGCACTTGAGCTTCACAAACTTCTAATTTCAGCTCTCCAAGGGCTGGGGTTTACCCGTGTCTCCAGACACACGCTGCTCGAACAGCACCCTCCCCCTTCTCAAGTAGGGGTGCTTAAAAACAGATGAATGTTTTGAACTCACAAAGCCTGAAATTAAGCTCACAATCCCCTGAGAACAGCAATAACAACCCTAAAATCAGTCTCCAAGTGTGGTGGCCAGGGTTATATGTCAGGAATTGTAACTAAGTGTGGAAGAAAGTCCTGTTCCATCTTCTCGTCTTCAGAATGTGCCAGATGCCAAGTAAAGACCATAATGATGACCATGCTCAAACTCATCTCAGGCCCGGTCCTCATTTCGGTCACCCCAGCCCTGATCCTGCCCTGTGCCCAGTTCCCAGAGTCATTTCCTTGGGAGATGTGAACATTCAGGTTTCGGTTTCCTGGGTGGTAGACTTAAGAACCCACTTTTCTTATTACTTACTTGGACTGAGAGAGAGCCTTATGGGGAAGGGCCTGTGGCCTGCACTGAGGGCACTGCAGGAGGGTGGCTGAGACATTTCTGAGAGAAGGCCGGAGCCAGGCCGGCTCTGTGGACGGAGTCACAGAGATCATGGTCATCCCCATTGACTTCTGTTTACATCCAGGAGCGTGACTGCCCCAAAGCGAGCCCAGGGAAGACCTGCAGGTGCCGTGCTCAGCAGGCACTGCTGGAGAACAGAGCACCCGGGCTCCCCACCACCCAATTAGCACCTGGAAAACATTTGTTTCCCCATTAAACTGTGACTCTAAATAAAATGCTGCCCTGGCTCCCCGTCCCCCTCCCACATGCTTTGTTAACATGTGATTAAACCCTCCAGCCCTGGCAGGCAGTCTTTGGAGGCGGGAAAAGGTTATTAGCTAACGGTTCAGAGCAGTAAAGGCACTTGGCTCAGGTTCTCAGTGCCCCAGAGATATAATTATCTCATGCTCGATGGCTTTGCCACCTGTCACATCTTCTGGTGTAATTTTTTTAAATAAAAAACAATGAGAGGGGTTGTTTTCTTGCTATGCGACAGAGCTCGCTTTGTGCTGAGCTTGGATGACACAGACTTGCAGCAGTCGCTCCCCAAGTCCCTGCTCCTGTTTTCTCTCGGCATTTCTTTGTCTCTACTGCTGTCTCTGTCCCTTTTTCCACCTCTGACTTGCATTTTGCATCTTTCTGCGTTGCCACCTGCAATCTCTCCAGTGTTTACTCCCTCGAGGCCAAGGCTTTCTGACACATTGCCTTCAAGTTCTTGTCTCCGGTGCTTGCACCGTCCCTCTCTCTCTCTCCATCTATCTATCTCCCTTCCTTCCTCTCTCCGTCCCTCCCTGCTCTCCCAGCTGCCTCCATCCAGCCTCCCCGGTACTCTCCTCTATGAACTAGGTGGTCTCAGGGCCTCCTTGAAGGTTCACCTTTCAACGGACCCTCCCCCTTACATGACCCTTCGAGGCAACCAGCAGCACACCGGCCCTGTGCTCTTGACCAAGGTCCCCCAGGTCTTCAGGGCTGCACATGACTGCCAGCATGCTGGGTTTTTCCTCAGGACCTGTGGCTTTTCTTTAGGCCCATTTTGGTGCCCCCAGGCCAGGACCATCGTGGCCTTTCAGTTTCCAGCTGGCTCCTTTGGCTCGTCTTCACTCTGTAGGCAGCGTCGGCAGTGGGGTCTCCCCCACTTGTTTCTGCCTGTGGCTTCTGGCTGGTGAGATCCTCCGCCTGCGGGACAGGCCTCCCTTTTCTCTCCGCTCTTCTCAAGGTGCAGCCTTCCCAACACGCCGCCTAACCTGACCTCACAGAACCTCACGGGAGATGCTGATCATCTGAGAACACGGGGCTCTCCCACTCCACTTAGAAGGCACTAGATTTATAGATCTGTCAGCTGGGCCAGGCCTCAGTCTCCACATACAAATGCACAAACACACCAGAAGATGCTGACAAATAGGTTCTTTCTCTCTCCAGAGTTGTTCCAAGTCATATCCGTCTAGTGCCCACATATAGTCAACAGGGGACATCAACCTCTCTGGCATTACTGAACGTCTTTGAGATGGAAGAAAATGTGTGTGTCATTTGCTAATCTCTCCTTTTTGTCTTTCAGCCACCGAATCTCCAAGTCGAAGTTCAGGTGAGTGAGATCCACACTATTCTTCCTTCTGCCCACCAGCTCTATCCCAGCCAGCCTCCAGGCAGGTGGTAGAGTGAGGGTCTTCTTCAAAGGGGGTAACTGCTCTCTTTTGTATGGCTATCAACAAAAGGTTTGGGGATTATATCAAGCAAATAATCCAGCAGTTGATGTGTGTTGAATTATCTTTATCTGTCAGTCTTTTTTTGGCAGCACCATCCCGAGGAGGCTGTGAGAACTATGTGTCTCCCTCCGTATTAGATGAATTCCAGTTAAAATCAGTATCATGTGGATGCTCACTACTGTTCCTGACTACGCCATGTTCATGGGGCACAGTGAGATATGAGCTCTAAGGATTATGGGAAGCACGCAGGATCACCACACTGCTGGGCTCCAGAACCTTCCACAGGGGCTATGGTCTTCAGCCCCCTTTCTGCCTTTCCAGTCTCACCCCCCACACTCCCCTGCACATACCCTTTGTTCCAACCACATGAAACTTGCATTTACTGGAATGTTCCCTGTCCTCTCATACATCAGGGCCTTTGCTGGGAGCCTTTCTTGTGCCTAAGTCACTGTGTCTCCATGTCTTCATTTGGAGAACTCAGACTTTTGTTAAGAAGCTCAAATGTTACCACATCTGTGACATCTTCTACAAACTCCCCAGGGGAAGTTACTTACCTCCCTCCATTCCCATAGTGCTTTGTGCATAGCACTACCATAGCACCTGCCATACTGCACACCAAATCAGCTGACAGGCTGGTTTCCTTCAATAGGCTCTGCCTCACAGGTATTATCTCCAGAGAGTCTAGCTAAGTGCCTGTCCAGTGGTAGGCTGTTCGTACTTGTGTGTTGAATGGATGACTGGATGGATATGTGAAGCGGGGATGTGAGTTTACTCCCACAAACCTTGACCATGCCAAAAATATTGGTGGCTTATGTTTTGCTTCCCTGGCAAAACATAAATAACACTGAATTTTAATCCAGCTGGGTAAATGTAGCTGTATTTTCAATAGTCCCTTCAGGTAAAAGTATTCAGTCTCATTATTTCCACTTTCCCAGTTCCTCTCCAGCCTCGAATCTAGTTGCACAGGGGCAGGGGCTTCAGAATCCTAGAAAGTTAATGGGGCTTGGTGAGGACTGGTGCTGGAATGCCCCAGTCCTCTGCTTATCTCCACTGGGTGGCGGCCAGTCCGAGCTGCTCTCTGAACTGGTTCCTGCTGAGGTGCAGCAGGTTCATCTGGTTTGGGCACCCACCACTGGAATCCATGCCCACTGCCCCCATATTTGCAACTGATCTTGAAATCTCCATCCCCAAGCTCTGTTGGTCCACCAATGTTAGCACCTCCATGCCTCATGTGAGTGCACGGACACCTCTGGGTCCCTCACACTCCGTGAACAAGCTACGGGGAACACTAAGCAGGCTCACCTACCTACCTGTCTCCCATCACTGTCTCTGCACCAGCCTAGATTGAGCTCTAAGCCAAAGGCTGACATTCCCCCAGGGTCCTGGAGACCCCCTATACTGCACCCGGTGGAGGCTACCAACCAGCCCCACCATCCCTGGGCCTTCCCGGGACTAAAGAGACCTCTAAGCTCTTAGGCCGGACACCAAGGACTCTGGTGTCTGCCTTCCTCCTCTACTTCTGACACCTCCTTTCTCCCATATTTCCACTAGAACTGGAAGACACAGGCTTTTCTCCCCTTCCTCTTTCTCTCAAGACCCCTTTTACATAAAAAATCAAGGGCCAAGTATTTCAGGCCTCACTCTTATTAATGAAAGGGAGCTCTAAAAATGTAAAAGTCCTTTCTCTCGCAATAATAATGCCTGAATTTGCTGCTTTATCTCCAGTATCTGGAGATGCGGCTGGTACATAACAGGACTGAATAAATTCAGGGGTGGGCAAAAGTAGGTTTACAGTTGTTCATATGGAAAATAATACAATAATTAATAAATAATACTACAAGAATAAGCTGTTTCGCGTACTCACAACTGTAAACCTACTTTTGCCCACCCTTGTATTTGCTGAGTGAATGAACAGTCTTGCCTCAGTAAGACAACAGGTTTGACACATACTCAAGCAAAATATCTAATCTGACAGCAAAGCTGAGAAAGCATTTTGTGTTTCTGCTAATTCCAAAGCCCCCATACATACAGTAGAAAAGGGATAAAAATACATTTGAAAATATTTCCAAAACATCATTCTCATGACATGCAAATCAGTGAATCACAAATGAACAAATGAATGAGTGAATGAATAAATAAATCAATATGATCCGGAGGATGACAAGAAATTACGTATTTGTATGGACTCTGTCTAATGAGAGATTACTCAGCAGACTCTGGGAGCAGTTTTATCCAGTGATCTCTCATGTAACCTGTGCTTTTGAAGAAGAGGAGAGGAACAGTGGTCCCCTAAACCTTTGACTCTCTGCTCAGCTTTGAGACTTGGCTTGACCTGCTCCATACCTAACCTCCTGTATAGCAACTGTTGGACTTCTGGGAAGGGTTTCTCCCTCTGCAGCTACTATTCAAGATACAAGGGGAATGCAAAGAAAAGACTTTGTATTCCTGAAAGACTTATCACTAGTAGGTTGGCACTATCGCTAAACACATTTTCAGATGAGGCTACTGAGGCTTAGAGGCCGGGGCCACATGGCTCATATGTGGCCGAGTCAGAGCCCACAACCAGGACCCATGCTGCTAACTACTGTACCATCTCAGTGATAAGGTCCTGCCCAGGAACATTCCACCCCGTTTCTGCTTAGCTACTGTATCCTGGACTTGGGTGGATAGCTCTACGTCAGTGCTAGTGCACAGAAATATAATGCAAGCCACACTTGCACTTTTTAAAGGTTTCTAGTAGTCATGTTAAAAAAGTAAAAAAACAGATGAAATTAATCTTAATATAATTAATTTGACCCAGTGTTTCTAGAACATTATCATTTCAACTTGTAATTAACTTCAAAATTATTGAGATATTTTACATTTAGTTTTTATGCTAAGTCTTCGAAATCCAGTGTGTATTTTATACTTATTTCATGTCTCATTTGAACTGGCCACATTTCAAGTGCTCAGTAGCCACAAGTGGCCAGTGGCTACTGCAGCAGAGTGTAGCCACCAAGGGCTCAACAGCTATCACATGGTGGCTTCGAGTGTAGAGTCTTTGGTGGTGTCTGTTTAGAAAATACCAAAGGCTGGCCATGGATTGAACATGCCATGAAAATTATCAAGTAGACCCGGAGCAATTTCTGTGTGCTGCTCAGGTTTCCACTACAGATGCAAGAAAACATGTCCTCACACTTTCTGATGTCTGATTGTAGCAGCCAAGATTGAATGGGAGAATACAGGAGAAAGCCAGATAAGACAGGGGAAAAATGGAGAGAGAATTTTTGCAACTCAGAAATAACCTTTTAAACAGTTTTACTCCATAAAAAGAAAAATAATCCAAAATTTGAGTTAAAAAAAATCCAAGTACTCCTGATCATTTACTCAGTTTAACCATGACAAGTAATAGAATTTGAGCTTCAAATTGGCCTATTCTGAAATTTGCAAAACTGAGTGATACAAAGGTACACTTTATGTAAAAGAGATATTAGAACAGAGTTTTTAGGGAAAATTCTGCAAAGTAATGACTTATAATATTAGGAATTAGCTACAATAAGGAATTTTGCAACATTTGTGGCTCACTGTTTGGAACAGGATTTAAACAGTTTGGGAACAAATGATTCAGAAAGTCTTATGCATGTTGAAGGGATTAATCCGGTAACCTGCTGGAGCTTCCAGACCCCCGTTTTACAGTTCTGAGTGGACCCACGGTTCTAGAATTCCGGAGGACTGCTTTGCACTGTGTTCAGTGCAGTGTGCCTCCAGCGTTCCCTTCACTTCTGCTGCCCCATGAGCAGCAAGGCACCCAGACTTGCCCACTGTCTCTAATAGTCCATTTTAAGTTACTTATATATAAAATAATTAAATGTAATGATTTGCTGTGTTGCTTGTTCTCAGTTCTGTAGCCACTAGAAAAAGCCTGAAGTGTCTACCATTTTGACGTCGTCTGTTATTCTAGATGACTGTCAAAAATTGTGTGCCAAGCAAGATCTTTCAGGAGCACTGCCCTGTCCTCACACCCTCCCTCATCCCTGGGTCGTGAGAGGCAGTAAGTCTGCGGAGAGCCTGTTTCTGCAGCTCTGCCAGCGTGTCAGCAGATGCTCTGACCATGTGAGGGGGACGGATCTGTACTGTGCATCTCTAACAAAGTGCAAGACATGGTGCCTTCCCCTCAAGGACCTATGAGCTCACTGGAGAGCCATACAGTACAAGATAACTGAGAAGCCATTTCCTCTGGGGACCGTTTCTGGCTCCTCTGTGGCTGGCTAGGATGCCCATTGTTGATGTGCTCTGCTGAGCCCCCTTGGCATTAAGCGCCTCTGCAGTTCCTTGCTTAGTGATCTGATCACCCACATGGGTTTCATGCAGACAAAGGCTGTGCCTATCATGCTGCTGACCAGCTAGTACTAACCATGGTAGGGGGTTAGTAAGCATTTCTTGAATATATAACTACAATAAGGCCACCAATGGGTCTGGCAGTTCAGTATGGGAAGACTAGAAAAGTGCACCATGGAGAAGCTGGATGGACAGGACATGGAAGGGGGCGTCCTGAGGCTTGGGGGACAGTCCCTGTAGGTGGAAACGCAAGAGTAGGGCCCAGTATTGGGAAGAGGTAAGGAGGTTGGGGTGAGCGAGCAGAAATTTCCTGTGGGAAGGCAGCGGTGTGGAAGTGGATTGGACAGCCCTATCCATCCTTCTAGCCTATGTCTACATATGGAAAGTTCTATTTCTAGAGTAAATGACTTTCCCAGTCAGTGTGAGGGGACCGTAAACAGCAGGCACATTTCTCCTCCCTATTTTATCATTTAATTTCTATATCCTCCGTGCATATGTAAACACAAATAAATTCACACATTCTAATAAACCATTACATTTATTACACAGTAGGAAGCGTTGCCAGGAAACCAGTTGTCAAGCAAAGCTATATTTTGAAGAGTGGGAGGTGTATAATTATCTTTAAATACTTTCTTGGGGTAGTGATTACCCCCACCCCCACCCAGCTCAGATCCACGTGACTCTCCTGAATGGCTGTGCACGGGAACAGCACACTTAGGAGCTACTGGCCTGTCTGTGACAGCCTCTCCTTCAGGGGTTTGAGCAGAGCTGTTCCAGACCCATGCACAGGCCTGACCATGTCACATCCCACAGGCACTACCCCCGAACTTGGGGAAAGAGGAGCTTAATCTAAGTTCTCGGCATAAACTGACTCCAAGTTGGCTCCCATGTCCTGAAAGTAAACTTGATTCCTTTAGACTCTGAACAACAAGTACCAGCGATGTCTGGAACATTACCTTGTATCTATTTAAAGCAATTTTTGGAAACTATAGTGTAAGCTATTTAAGGTCAGGTATGAGTTTGTCCTGAAGATTTTTCAGGGAAAAAATTGTGTTACCAGATTTCTCTACAATATTAATAACCACAGTAGCAGGAAAGAAGCAGCGTTCTGCCTAGGCCAGAAAGACAACTCAGTACCGAGGTCTGGCCACCTCCAAAAGTCACCGCTCACTGAGGACCAACCACCTGGGACTCTTGTCCCCTTCCTGCACCCCTCCCTTCACCCTCTCGCATCCTCACGCTTGCCCAGGGTAGTATGTGTGAGGATGCAAGCCTCCCTAAGTGCATTTGGAAACTGTAATTTTCTGACCCTGAGAATTTCTTCTCTGTGTAGTGAATTTCCCCCAGGTAGCAGGTTAGTGTCCCCTACAAAGGTGTGGTGCTCACTGGAGAGGGCCTTCTAGTACCCACAGCAATACAGAGGTCAGAGCAGAACACAGCTTAATTAACGCTTTCTTCCCTCCCTGCTCTGCAAACCAAAAACAGGGTTCTCAAGAAACCACACCCTTTGTAGATATACTCCTCACTTCTCTAATCTCATCGTAGATTTTAACCAAGGTTTGGTAACAGGATTTTTCATGGACAGTAGGTAGAAGCAATCTGGAATGGGTGAAGGGAGCCTTAAACAGCAGAGGTCTCCGTCCCTGGAAACCTAGAATACAGATGTGAATACAGATGTTCATGGACAACTGCTCCACAATTCTGTTTCTCACTCTGCCTTTTTTATTACCCAAACCGTCTATTTCTCCCATCTTCAGCTGCCTGCTGGGTCTCTCTCCACATGTCCTACGAGCCCCTCAGATGTATTTCCTGAGCCGAGCGCCCCACCTTTCTCCTCAGAGCCACCTCCCTGCCCAGAGCACCTCTCCTTATCTGTACCTGCATCGGTTAGACGAGCCCCTCTTCCTAATCGCCCCAGCTAGGAACTTGGCCATCCCTTCTGTCCCTTTCTCTCTCACCCTGCACTTCCAGTCANGGTTGGGGTGAGCGAGCAGAAATTTCCTGTGGGAAGGCAGCGGTGTGGAAGTGGATTGGACAGCCCTATCCATCCTTCTAGCCTATGTCTACATATGGAAAGTTCTATTTCTAGAGTAAATGACTTTCCCAGTCAGTGTGAGGGGACCGTAAACAGCAGGCACATTTCTCCTCCCTATTTTATCATTTAATTTCTATATCCTCCGTGCATATGTAAACACAAATAAATTCACACATTCTAATAAACCATTACATTTATTACACAGTAGGAAGCGTTGCCAGGAAACCAGTTGTCAAGCAAAGCTATATTTTGAAGAGTGGGAGGTGTATAATTATCTTTAAATACTTTCTTGGGGTAGTGATTACCCCCACCCCCACCCAGCTCAGATCCACGTGACTCTCCTGAATGGCTGTGCACGGGAACAGCACACTTAGGAGCTACTGGCCTGTCTGTGACAGCCTCTCCTTCAGGGGTTTGAGCAGAGCCGTTCCAGACCCATGCACAGGCCTGACCATGTCACATCCCACAGGCACTACCCCCGAACTTGGGGAAAGAGGAGCTTAATCTAAGTTCTCGGCATAAACTGACTCCAAGTTGGCTCCCATGTCCTGAAAGTAAACTTGATTCCTTTAGACTCTGAACAACAAGTACCAGCGATGTCTGGAACATTACCTTGTATCTATTTAAAGCAATTTTTGGAAACTATAGTGTAAGCTATTTAAGGTCAGGTATGAGTTTGTCCTGAAGATTTTTCAGGGAAAAAATTGTGTTACCAGATTTCTCTACAATATTAATAACCACAGTAGCAGGAAAGAAGCAGCGTTCTGCCTAGGCCAGAAAGACAACTCAGTACCGAGGTCTGGCCACCTCCAAAAGTCACCGCTCACTGAGGACCAACCACCTGGGACTCTTGTCCCCTTCCTGCACCCCTCCCTTCACCCTCTCGCATCCTCACGCTTGCCCAGGGTAGTATGTGTGAGGATGCAAGCCTCCCTAAGTGCATTTGGAAACTGTAATTTTCTGACCCTGAGAATTTCTTCTCTGTGTAGTGAATTTCCCCCAGGTAGCAGGTTAGTGTCCCCTACAAAGGTGTGGTGCTCACTGGAGAGGGCCTTCTAGTACCCACAGCAATACAGAGGTCAGAGCAGAACACAGCTTAATTAACGCTTTCTTCCCTCCCTGCTCTGCAAACCAAAAACAGGGTTCTCAAGAAACCACACCCTTTGTAGATATACTCCTCACTTCTCTAATCTCATCGTAGATTTTAACCAAGGTTTGGTAACAGGATTTTTCATGGACAGTAGGTAGAAGCAATCTGGAATGGGTGAAGGGAGCCTTAAACAGCAGAGGTCTCCGTCCCTGGAAACCTAGAATACAGATGTGAATACAGATGTTCATGGACAACTGCTCCACAATTCTGTTTCTCACTCTGCCTTTTTTATTACCCAAACCGTCTATTTCTCCCATCTTCAGCTGCCTGCTGGGTCTCTCTCCACATGTCCTACGAGCCCCTCAGATGTATTTCCTGAGCCGAGCGCCCCACCTTTCTCCTCAGAGCCACCTCCCTGCCCAGAGCACCTCTCCTTATCTGTACCTGCATCGGTTAGACGAGCCCCTCTTCCTAATCGCCCCAGCTAGGAACTTGGCCATCCCTTCTGTCCCTTTCTCTCTCACCCTGCACTTCCAGTCAGGTGCAGAGGCCTCTTGGTTTTGCCTCCAAAATTGGTGTCAACTCAGTGTCCTCTTTTCCATGAGTAAAGCCACTGCCTCGTCCTCTGCAACCCACGCGGCCGAGAGAGCATTCTTCATCCTGTTGCTTNCTGAGCCGAGCGCCCCACCTTTCTCCTCAGAGCCACCTCCCTGCCCAGAGCACCTCTCCTTATCTGTACCTGCATCGGTTAGACGAGCCCCTCTTCCTAATCGCCCCAGCTAGGAACTTGGCCATCCCTTCTGTCCCTTTCTCTCTCACCCTGCACTTCCAGTCAGGTGCAGAGGCCTCTTGGTTTTGCCTCCAAAATTGGTGTCAACTCAGTGCCCTCTTTTCCATGAGTAAAGCCACTGCCTCGTCCTCTGCAACCCACGTGGCCAAGAGAGCATTCTTCATACTGTTGCTGGTGGAGAAGTTGACAGAGTGGCTGTTTCTGTTGGTTGGTTGGCTTTGAAATCAAATCTCGTCATGTCATTTTCCCTCTCGAAGTCCTTAGCACGGCCCTCTGCAGCTCCCCCCAGGCACCGCGCCAGCACCCGGTCCTCCTCTCCTTTGCAGTGCAGGCGCTTGGCAAACGTTTGGTCAACAGAGTTACCACATAGAGCTGTATATTTTCTCTGCATCATGAGGGTGAAATCAGGGAAAAGCTTTAAAATGCTCCACCATAAAATTATAAGATGTGACTCTTTTCTTGGTGGTTCTCAGTCATGGTTGCACAGTAGAATCATTTGGGGAATTTTAAAAATACCAGTGGTATTTTTTTGATATTTAGAAAGTACCCAGCCCCCAGAAAATCAGATTTTATTGGTTTGGGCTTAGGACCTGGGTACAGGGGGGGTTTCTCAGGTATCTCTTCAAGCTTTCCCAGGTAACTCTGTGCACAGCCAGGTTAGAGAATCACGGACAAAGTCTCTAACCAGGAGACCACAGAGCATTGCATGGACCGTGGCTGAGCTTCAAGGGGCCGGGTGCTGCGTGAGCTTGTATGTAGGGGTGTGCGTGTGGAGGGGTGCCCTCATTTTTCTGAACATCTAAACATTCATCAGACTCTCAAAAGTTTCTGTAACCCCAAAAAGCAAAGCGCCTCTGGTCCAGACTCAGCCCTTACACTTTGCAGACGAGGCAGCATAGAGTAAGGGCAAGACAGGGGCTGGGAGAAGAACACGGCTGGCACTGCCACTGTGCGACAGTGCTCAGGGGACTTAACCCCCACCGCCCTTGGTTCCTCCTCCTCAAAATCAGGATAATGCCTGCTTTGCAGAGTTCTTTAAGAACTAGGGAGAAGGCATGAGAAGTGTCTACTATGGTACCGAGTACACGTGAGGTTTTGTTAATGGTAACTGTTACGAGTCCTAATACTACCATCACTACTAATACTTCAGAACTGTTCCTAACAATGCCACTATTCTAAAATAAAATATTGTCCATTTTTGACCACCCTCAGCTTTATGCTAGACACCTTAGACAGTATTCCATCAATTCCCACAACAATCCTGTGCTCTTGGCCCTGTTCCCATTTCACAGATGAGAGGACTGAAGCTTAGGAAGGAGCAGGGACATACCCAAGGCCACAAAGCTAAGAGGCAGCTCCCCATTAACTTGAAAGCTTATCTCCTCGGCAGCAGGCCGCACTGCTCTAGCGAGGCCAGTCAGTCAAGAGGTGAAAGGAAACCACAGTGGAGCCTTTCAGATTGCAAGAAATGTGAATTTCATAGCCCGCTTCCTCCCACCCTTCTCTCCTTTCCCACCCTTTCCAGTCGCTACTGGCGCCGGTGGAATCGGTTCTGCAGAAGAAAGTGTCGCGCCGCAGTCAAGTCCAACGTCTTCTACTGGCTGGTGATTTTCCTGGTGTTCCTCAACACGCTCACCATTGCCTCAGAGCATTACAACCAGCCTCACTGGCTCACAGAAGTCCAAGGTGAGAGGCAGCACCTGGCGCCATCCTGGTTCACTGGCCAGCTCAGCCCTGAATCCCAGGGAGGGGACAGCCACAGGCAGAAGGTGGACAGGAAAGCAGTCAGTGGCCTCAGCTCTTCCCAGTTGCCATGCTGGGTGCACCAAGGGCCTGGCAGCCTGAAAGCCGCACAGTAAAATGCACAACCTTGTTATAAATAGGTGTGGCTCACCAGCTGGGTCCACAGGATCTGCCTGTCCCAACAGTCATTGTTGGGTCCAGGTGACAAGGGCACATTCTGCACCTTGTTTGGCTATCTCACACCCTTGGCTGCCAATTCCCCAGAATGGATTTTCAATCCTTCGGGCTTTACTGTTGCATCCAGGTATATGTGGTGGTAGGTCCCGGTGGGCTTCCCAGCACATGTGAGGATGAGGTGAACAAAAGGCAGGGGAAAGGACAGCACTGGCCTGAGCACAGGAAGCTGTCCTCAGTGGGCAGGTAGTGCCCATGCCCTTCCCCAGGCCCCTTGGAGAGGATCTCACTAGCCAGGGCCTCAGCACCACTCCCAGGGAGCCAGGCAGTCACAGGGGCTACATCCCAGACTCGGGTGGCCCGGCTTCACCTCTTGGCTTGCTGGTTTGGGTGGATTACTCATCTCTCTGAGCCTCACTTCTTATATCTGAACAATGGGCATGATGACAATAATACCTGCCTCACAGAGCTGCTGTGAGGAGAAAGAAAACAAGGCTTGCAAAGCCTTTGGAGTAGATGCAGTAGCCCCCTTATTCTCAGTTTCACTTTCTGAGGTTTCAGTTGCCTCTAGTCAATCACGGTCTGAAAATATTAAATGGAAAAATTCCATAAAGAAACAATTCACACATTTTAAAGTTGCACACTATTCTGAGTAGTATAGTGAAATCTCACACTCTTAGGGTATGTATATACAGTTATAGGAAAAACTCAGTGTACATAGGAATCAGTACTATCCGCGGTTTCAGGCATCCGCTGGGGGTCTTGGAACGTATCTCCCGAGGACAAGGGGGGACTGCTGTACTTAATAAATACTTGTGCTTATAACTAAATACCCCTTTCCTGTTGATTTGGCCCTAATCTGTTTTGGAGGCAGTGGATGGAGAGGTGTCCTGGCTGGGAAGGGAGAGTTTCTTTTTTCTTCCAGTGGTGTTAATTACTGTGTTTTCTTTCCCCTCCTTCCCCGCTTTCCTTCCTCTCATACCTGTTTGGATCCCACCCTATCCCTGAACCTGCCAGACACGGCCAACAAGGCACTCCTGGCCCTTTTCACTGCAGAGATGCTGCTGAAGATGTACAGCCTGGGCCTGCAGGCCTACTTCGTGTCCCTCTTCAACCGCTTCGACTGCTTCATCGTGTGCGGAGGCATCCTGGAGACCATCCTGGTGGAGACCAAGGTTATGTCTCCCTTGGGCATCTCTGTGCTGAGATGCGTTCGGCTCCTGAGGATATTTAAAATCACCAGGTATTTCCCTTCAGACACGGGACTCGGAGAAGTTCTTCAGGTGGCAGGGCGGCCCAAAGGCCTGGGTGGGTGAGCCGCTGCTCTTTCTAGATGGGTCTGTCCTCGGCTCACATCAGTGCAGGAGCTTTGATTCATTTAGATGGCATGTCATTTAGAAATCCCTTTGACTACTGGTACCAGAGACAGCTCAGTGGTATAAGCAAATTAGGGATTTGCTCAGTCACATGAAGAAAGCCCAGAGGTGGGCAACCCAGGTGGCTTCAAGAAGGCATCGGGACCCAGTCTCCTGTTCTTGGCTTTGCCAGCCTTAGGCCTGCCTTCCACCTCAAGGTCACAAGGTGGCTTCTGGAGATTGAACCATCATGTTCCAATTTGAGGAAAGGAGTGGGGAGAGTGGCAAAGGTGACACCAACCCCACTGAGTCAGCTCCCTCCAGAGCTCTCCCAGAAATCTCACCACAAGCTCTGTCCTCGTGGCCACCCCTCTGTGAGAGGCAGAGACATGGTCTTTACCTGGGCGTGTGCTGCCACAGATGCAGTCGAGGTTCCTCAACTGAGGAAGGGCGACGGATATTGTGCCACAGAGGGCTTCATCCCTCCTTCCACACGCTCATCCCTCCCTCTGTCCATCTGCCAGGTCAAGCAGGGATTCTCCTGTAGAGGACAGGCGGGGGCAGGGGACGGGAGTGGGAGGCCTGCTCTAGGACAATCATTTTCAACTGTTGTGACCCATTTGGGATGACGAAGTCAGTTTATTGGATTACAACCATCATTTTTAAACTGCTTTATTGAGATATAATTCACATACTCTCTTTATACAATTCATTGTTTATATGTATTCAGAGTTTTGCAGCCATCACCACAGTCTGGTTAGACCGTTTTATTTATTTATTGTTAATAGTCACCCAGGGATATTTTTTCCATTGATATTTTAGAGAGAATGGAAGGGAGGGGGAGAGACAGAGAGAGAGAAACATCGATGTGAGAAAGACACATCGATTGGTTGCCTCCCGTATGCACCCCGACCAGGGCTGGGGATTGAGCCTGCAACCGAGGTACATGCCAATGACCCGAATCGAACCCAAGATCCTTCAGTTCGAGGGTCGAGGGTCGAAGCTCTAACCACGGAGCAAAACCAGCCAAGGCTAGACCATTTTCATCACCCCAAGAAGAGACCCCACACCCACTCCTCATTCACCCACCTTCCTCCCAGTAGCAACCACTAATTTACTTTCTATCCCTGTGGATTTGCCCGATCTGGACGGTTGAGCTGTGTGAACTCACGCAATGCGTGGTGTTCGTGTCTGACTTCTTTCACTTGGCGTAATGGTCTCAGGTGTCCCCGCTTTGTGGCGTGGCTAGCACTCCATTCCTTTCTGTGGCCGAGTGGCCTTCCATCGTAGGGATATATACCCCATTTTGTTTACTCATTGCTCGGCGGGGGGACATTTGGTTTATTAGCTACCTTTTGGCTACTATGAATAATGCAACTGATGTTCAGGTTTTTGTATATAAGTATGTTTCCACTTCTCTTGGGTATGTACTTAGCAGTAGAATGTCCAGGTCATTTAATAACTCTCTGTTGAAGATTTTGAGGACACATCACTGTTTTCCAGAGACTAGGCCATTTTACATTCCCATCAGTGACATATGAAGGTTCCAATTTCTCCACATCCTTGGTTTTCATGAAAAAATGAAGTAGAATAAGAAAACATCAGAAGGCCTCGAGTGCGCGCACACATTGTTTCCTAATCATCTTTGGCACATACATCTGAATTGCAGTATAATATATATTTCTCACCGTGGGTTGTGATCAACCCATATTAGAAACATTTGTCAGGGAGGGAGTTCAAACTATGCCCCCCAGAGATACAAGCCTCCCCTCCCGAAGGGTCTCTGCTTTGGGAGCGTGACTGATAACAGGAGCGCTGAGACCATCGTCCGGATTGTGTTAGAGGAAGGCACTGGCGTGGGTAGCTCCCATTCAAGGACCTGGAGCTAAGCAGATGCTGCTCTGAGTGTTCTGAACGTGACTGACTGAGTCATCGGGGGCCCATAAAACATCCCGAGGTGTTACCGTTCTCTGCAAAGTGTTCTCAGCAACGGCCACGTACACACTGTTCCTGCGGCGTTGTTGAGGGTCAGAAGAGAAAAGGTGTTTAAAGTGTTCACTTCCTGGAGCATTTATTATGAATCTCATTATAATTGCTGATATTAGGAGAGGGAAGAAGGAGAAAAGAGCTCAGGGTGGCCAACATATACACACACGCTTACTTTTGTTTGTCCACCGTGTAGTACTGTGTGTCAAGCCCTGTGGGAATTGGGAACAGGAGAGCACCCCTGGGGAATCTTTAATATCAGATAATGCACTCACAGTGTATGCAGAAACACTTTGAGTGTTTTCTCTAAAATTTTTTTACAGGAAATTCTTGGTTTAAAATAAAAGTAGCAGAAATATAATGACAATCATTGTTAACTTGCATCGAGGCTAGCTCTGTGCCAGACAGTGTGATTGAACCTCATGTGCATTTGCTCCATTAATCCTCACAGTTACCTGTAAGAGAGGGTGGGGCTGGACTACTATTATCATTCCCACTTTGCAGATGAGGCTTAGAAAGTTAAGGCACTTGTCCAAGGCCACACAAACTGTTCAGGGGATTAAAAGGCACATTTGTGGGCCTGGCTTGCAGTTCTGACTTCTAGTTCTATGCAGTTCATGACCATGAGCTGCAGAGTTGACAGCTAAACTGGCTTGTTGTCTGCGTCCCTGAGATAGAACTCGGGGGCTTTTAGCATACTACTTCTGGTTGCTAGATAATTGCTGATTCTACTTTCTCCTCCTGGGATCTGGTGATAATTATTTTTAATTTGGAGTTTCTTATGACTCTTAAATAATTCTCAAAGTCCATGTGTTTGGGGATTTGTTTTATTTTTAATTCCTATATAAAAGAATTTTGCTTTTAGATATTGTCATAGAATCTTGAAGAGATTTAACATTCATTCTATTTTTAATCAACAATTTATCTAGTTCTGATCTGAAACTATTGCCAAGAAATAATTTTTTTAAATCTATCTTTATCTCCCATAGTCCCTCCATGAGAAAAATTAGTATTATTTTCATATCTCTACAAACTCTGTAAACAGAATAATTTCATTATCTAATTGGAAGTGCTTTGGCAGAGACCATCATCTCCCTGTTTTCCAGTCTCTAAACTCCCTGGGGGCTTTTGGAAAACAACAGAAAGACTAACTGTGTGGGGGAATCCCATGCTCCCTGTGAACCTTGTCTCTAATGCACTCCAGAGACCAAGAGAATGCCTACGATATGGACTGGGGTGGGCCCAGCGGTCCCTTGAGACAGGTCATCTGTGTACGGTCTGGCCTTCAAACAAGTGTATCTCTCCTTCTTTTAAAATCTCTTGGAGAGTACCTTGCGATGTCTCACTGCTATTTTTCACAGTGTATTCTGAGCCAGTGATTGTGATTCTCTTGGTTGAACTGATTAGGTCTCATTAAGGACCCACCTCTAGAGATTTTGACCAGCAACTGGAGAGTTCCATGCAGTGGTCCAGTGACCTCACTTTGAGAAACACTGGCCTAATTTTCTGGTGCTGTTCTGTGTCCACTTTTTTGCCTAAAAAGCTGAACCTTTATATATAATTGGAAACCTTCATTCTCTTTTTTCTTCACCTGGAACCCGGGTATGTGCCCTGACCGGGAATGGAGCCCAGCACCTTTTGATGTACTGGATGACGCTCCAACCAACTAAGCCACACCAGCCAGGGCAAAACCTTGATTCTTACGTCTCCACCCTCTTCTCTGTACTGTAGCCCCTAACCTAACCATGTTAAGATTGTACTTTTGATAGTTCTTGACTGAGAAATCTCACAATAAAGAGCTACTATGAATTCAGTAATTTTTAAATTAAGGTGGATCATATTAATCCCTACACACCTGTATGTATTTGGAGGGTGGTGGTGTAAATTCAAGATGAGCTATTTATTTAGAGTGCTGTGATGCTCGGTGAACACAGGATCCATGGATTTCACCCTGTAATTCCAAGCTGCCCTTCCCACCCCAGGGCCTTTGGTCTGAGAGTCAGCAATACTGATCTAGACCAGTGGCTCAGCCATGATGTCATGACACAGCAGTATGTCCAGAGCAGTCAGACAGTGTATAGCAAATAATTTGCTAAGAGCTAAAATATTAAAATGTGGGTTTTCTTTTTTAAAAAAATAGAAATAAATTCAGTATTGTTCTGTAACACCCTTCCTCGTGGTCACTTGCCTTCCCAAATGCTTTTGTGAATGGGCAAGAGCAGGGTGGACCTACAGCTCCCCCATGCTGCCTGAAGGGAGTCCGGTGTATGATGAATTTTAAGATGGTATATGAAGAAAAGGAATTATTGATGTGCTTACATTTTTTTGTGTTTTGTGAAAATCTGAGAATGCCTTAGGAAGTATACTGTGCATATGAGTGTCATCCATTCTGTGGGTCTCACTTAAAAAATAAAAAACAAGACTAGGAACCCTGCACCAGACTGTAAGTCAGCTGATTTCTGAGTCTTCATAGAGCTTCCAGTGAGACGTTCTGGAATGGGAAAGAATAGGGAAGGCAGGATTCTGACCTCAGTGAGAACGGAGAGGCATGCAGGTGACCAAAGTCCTTGTCATCTTTGGGAAAATCACCCATGACAGTGGGCCTTCTGGTCACTGATGGATTGGGTTCTTTCTCCTGCTTCGATGGGGCTCTAAATGTTGCTGAGTTTCAGCACCTAGTTTGTCTGCTCTATGTCAGCCCAGTCTGACGTGGGGGAGGGAGAAGAGATTCAGTTAGATTAAATCTGGACATAATTCCAATTTACTAATTGTACCTCCATTTTTATGTAATTGGTTTTTAGTGCACCAAAATCCCTTTAGACCTTGCTGTTTCCCTCTTAAACCTTAAGCTCCCTTTCTTTCTCTTACTGTTTTTCCCCTTCTGCTCCCTACCCCGGCCCTGAAATGTGAAATTGGGCTGACTAGGTGCAGATTCGCAGGTGAATCGCGGCCTCTTCGCAGCGTTGCCCTGCTGGGATATCACTGAGAGCATCAGATCCGGCCCCCTCCCTCTCCCCCCACCTTCTGGCCCCACTCTTCTCAGGCCCACGGGGGCTCAGAGCTCACAAAGGGCCATTACTAAAGAGGCAAATGCCTAAAGAGCTCGCAGGCCAGGGTCTGTGGAGAAGGCAGCGCTGACTCGAGAGCCTGCACACTGGCTGTCTCCACGAAAGGGGTCATTCTGGGATGGGTACCCTCATGATGCTCGAAGGGACAAAAGTGCAGGTGGCGGGCCAGCCACAGGCGAACCCCCACCCTGCCCGGGATTGAATGGGAAGCAACAAGAGTTTGAAGGCAAATGATGTCCATTTGTCTCAACCGCATCTTACCTGTGTGACAGGTGGGTGGCGCCAGTGTACCTGGCTACAGTTTGTCTCTTAAGCAAAGACTGCCTCGGACCCTCAAGCCCGTGGTCTTTGGTTTGCATGGGACTTCTTCCTAAAAGGAGTCGCATGTTCCCAGTGCTCTTCTGGAAATCCTACCCCAAGGGTCTCAAAGCCATTGCCATGTAGGGTAAATAGACACATTTATTTTTTTTCTTTGTTTTTTTTATATTGAGGTATAATTGACATATAACATTATATTAGTTTCAGGTGTACAACAGGATGATTTGATATTTGTATATACAGTAGTCTCCCTTATCCATGGTTTCTTTGTTTCAGTTGCCTGAGGTCAACCACGGTCTCAAAATATTAAGTGGAAGATACCTGAAATAATTCGTAATTTTAAACTGCACAGTGTTCTGAGGAATGTGATGAAATCTTGTGCAGCACCACCTCTGTCCAACCCGGGACTTGAATTGTCCCTTAGTCCAGCGCTGTACGTGCTCAGTTAGTCTCAGTTATCAGATCAACTGTCGTGCTCTTTCAGGGTTTGTGTTCAGGTAACCCTGATTTTACTTAATAATGCCCCAAAGCCCAAGAGTAGTGATGTAGGCAATTCAGATATGCCAAAGAGAAGCCATAAAGTGTACTTCGGCGTAGGAAAACACATAGCATATATGGGGTTCGGTGCTATCTGTGGTTTCAAGCATCTACCGGGGGGCTTAAAACCTATCCCCTGAGGCTATGCGGAGACTGCTGTATTGTGAAATGATCACCACAGTAAGTCTAGTTAACATCCATTACCACACATAGTTACAAAAAAAAATTTTGTGATGGAAGGATCTTTAAGATTAAACTCTCTTAGCAACTTTCAAACATGCAGGACAGTATTAGTAACTCCAGTCCCTGTGCTGTAGATTGCATACCCGTGACCAAGTTATTTTTTAACTGGAAGTTTGTACCTTTTAACCCCCTTCACCCCTTCAGCCCACCCACCACCACCCCTGCCTCTGGCAACCACCAGTCTCTTCTCTTGCTACATAATAGTTTGACACGTGGTCTGGCAGTGGGACAGTCAGGAGTCTCAGAAACTCTACTCGTGAGTTTAGGGGACCTATCGGAAAAGAAATGACATGGGGGTGCAAGTAGCCTCTTCTCATTGTTAGGCAAAGTGTGTGTGTGTGAGGTCCCGCCACCACACCACCTGTTCCCACCACACACACCATGTCCCCTCCCTCTCCCACCTTAATCTATATGTCAACACACACCCTTCTGATACAGCTGAAATTCTCATTATAAATATGCTCTACAGTTACTGGTTTCTAAACACCAGTTGACTGACACGTGTTATAGTGGTTGCATGAGAATCATGGGAGGCCCAGCACCAGAGATTATGATTCCATGGTTCCAGGGGGCCTGGGAATCAGTATTTTTTTAAAAGCAATCACTGTTTTCAACAGCTTCTTTTCTAGCATATTTGGGAACGCTGCTGGAGATGTAAACGGGAAGGGCGATCTAGCCCCAGAGAGGCTCTCTCGCTTCCTGCTTTAAGTGAACCATTACTACAACCTCTAGCCTACTGGGGCCCCAGGCAGTCCGCCACTCGTACTGGGTTACACAGAATTTATTTGGGGATGGAAAGAATGGAAGGACAAAACCTCTGGTCTCTGCCCTCAAGAACTGAGGGCCAGTTCTGGAGAGACAAGACCGTCACAGTGAAAAACACTTAAGAGCACTTGTAGAACAGATACAACTAAATGTGTACGACTGTTCTGCAAACAGAGGGAGTATGACTGGCTCAGCTTGGAAGGAGAAAGGAGTTCATGTTGACATCCAACCTGGTGGCCCAGCTGCTTCTGTCACTTGCTATGGAATGGTTCTCTGGAGAGACACGCCTGGCTGGGGTGCAGCAGGAAGGATGAAATGGGGGTGGCTAGCATATCACTCTCTCAAGCAGTGAAACCACTTCACTGTATATGTGGCCATAAGCTGGGAGCATCTTAAGTGGAGGAAGCACAGACCGTGACCTGGATCGTAGAGAGCCAGTGTGGAGCGCGGGGACATGAGATTTCTCTGTTCTCACATTTGCTGCCGACCAAGGCTGCGTCCCTTTTGCTACAGGGCATTTCCTTATCTGGAACTGGGCCTCTCACAGGCACCCAGGCCTCATCCACCAGCCATGAGTAGCCCCCCCACCCCTTTTCCAAGGGAAAGGGATTTCCCTCAAGCTATAACGAAGGACCCCAGTGTTTATTTACCGTAGAGAGAAGGTTGGTAACTATAAGGAGCCCCACCCACAGCCCATCTGCTCAAATGGTCCCTGTGGTGAAACAGATTTTCCCAAACTTGCCTGCTTATCAGAATCCTCTGGGCCACTTGTTAATAATACAGGTCTAGTTTCTTCAGATAAATTCCTAGAAGTGGAATGGCTGGTCATAAGGCAGCTCCATTTTTAATTTTTGAGGAGCCTCCATACTGTTTTCCGTAGTGGCTGCACCAGTCTGCATTCCCACCAGCAGTGCACTAGGGTCTCCCTTTTCCCCACATCCTCGCCAGCACTTGTTATTTGTTGATTTGTTGATGGCAGTCATTCTGACAGGTGTGAGGTGATATTTCTTTGTGGTTTTAATGTGCATCTCTCTGATAATTAGTGACATTAAGCATCTTTTCATATGCCTCTTGGCAATCTGTAGGTCCTCTTTGGAGAAGTGTCTATTCAGGTCCTTTGCCCATTTTTTAATTGGATTGTTTGGGTTTTGGGTGTTGAACTTTATAATTTCTTTATAAATTTTAGATATTAACTCCTTATCAGATATATCAGCAAATATGTTCTCCCATTCAGTGGGTTGTCTTTTCATTTTGTTGATGGTTTCCTTTGCTGTGTAAAAATTTTTTAGTTTGATGTGGTCCCGTTTGTTTATTTTCTCTTTTGTTTCCCTTGCCTGAGGAGATATATCAGAAAAAAAATATTGCTACCAGAAATGTCCAAGATTTTACTGCCTATGTTTTCTTCTAGGATTTTAATGGTTTCGAGTTTAATGTTAAAGTCTTTAATCCATTTTGAGTTTATTCTTGTGTGCAGTGTACAAGGTGGTCTAGTTTCCTTTTTTTGCATTTATCTGTCCAATTTTCCCTACACCATTTATTGAATAGACTACCTAATTCAAAAGAATATATGCACCCCTATGTTCATATATTTACAATAGCTAAGATTTGGAAGCAGCCCAAGTGTCCATCAGTAGATGAGTGGATAAAACATCTGTGGTACATTTACCCCATGGAATACTACTCAGCCATAAAAAAGAAGAACATTTTACACTTTGTGACAGCATAGATGGACCTGGAGAGCATTATGCTAAGTGAAATAAGCCAGTCAGAGAAAGACAAGTACTGTATGATTTCGCTCATATGTGGAATTTAATGAGCTAACTGAACTAACAAGCAAAATAGAGGCAGATTCATAGATAGAGAGCAGGCAGACAGCTCTGGTGGTGGTGGTGCGGGGTGTTGAGGGGTGGAGGGATTGAGCAAAAATGAAAAAAGAGAACTCATGGTCATGGGCAACAGTGTAGTGATGGTGGTGGGGAGGAATGAAAGTGGGTGTAGGTGGCAAAAAAATAAAGAAAAAATAATAATACAGGTGTCTGGGCCTCAAATTACAGCTGTTGAATCAGGATCTTCAGATCAGAGCCTTTTTTAAAAAAAAAAACCACACAATTCTTTGGACAAGGTAAATTTGGGAAACTTTGCTAAGTAACACACCCTCTCTTACCCATGGGTGACCTAACTCATGCCTCTGCTGGGCGAGGCTGAGGGCAGCGTTCCTCGGGGGAAAAGTGTTTTTCTGTCTAAAACCCAATAGTGGTAATAATACTAATCATCATCAACTGTGCGCCAGACACTATCCTGGGGGCTTTTCATTTTTTATTATCTCATGTAATCTTCCCAATAACTTAATGAAATATGGGCTACTATTGTCTCTATTTTTTCAGATGGGGAGGCAGAAAGAAGGGAAGTTAAGTGACTCGTTCAAAGGCACACACTGGCAGATCTAGGTCAGAACTTGGGCTCTGGCTCCTCAGCTATGTCTCTTCTCCATTACACATCACTGATCCTGGCACCTTGAGTCAACCACCTGCATATTCCAATTGGGAGCTTACCGGCCCAATTCAAACCACCACCACCCCAAGGAAAGGGGAAAGCAGAGGGACCTGAAATTTGTCTTAAACTCTAGTGGGTGTGTGCATGAGGAATGAAGTTCTGGAAAGCGTAGGAGGACGCTGACCCCTCCCTCATTTGGTCCTCAGGTACTGGAACTCCTTAAGCAACCTGGTAGCATCCTTGCTGAACTCCGTGCGCTCCATCGCCTCCCTGCTGCTGCTCCTCTTCCTCTTCATCATCATCTTCTCCCTCCTGGGGATGCAGCTCTTCGGAGGAAAGTTCAACTTTGATGAGATGCAGACCCGGAGGAGCACATTTGATAACTTCCCCCAGTCCCTCCTGACCGTGTTTCAGGTATGGACTCTCCTCTGCTGGGATTATGACCGGGAGGGTGATTGAGTGGTGGGGGGAGGAGGCAGAGGGGAGCAGGAAGAAGGGGCCTTGGCAAGGTGGTGGGAAGTGTCACCCTTGCATGGGCAGCCTCAGGCAAGAGATCAGCCATGGAGGGTCCGTGCCCAGGAGAACCTTGAGTTCCTTCTATAGTTTCCCCTACCCAAAGTCCCCCATGGAATTTCACTGTTGGGTGGACCATTGAAAAGAGATCTAATTGAGAGGTTTGAAAACTCTTTCTTAGCTATGGGACCCTTTATTAAAATAAATTCTACATGGAAGCCCAAAATATAAACAAATAAAAGCAGACTGCTCTGTTGAAGGAGGGAAGGATGGAGCTCTGTGTTTCTATCCACCATGCTTGTCCCTAGGAAAATATAACTAGCCCATCAACTTTGTGATTTTGTAGATATTTTGGCTTAGGGCAAAGCTAAAGTAGCACTTGTCTAAGCTTAAAAGTAGATTGATTTACAGATAAAAATGAATAAAAATGTGGATGTTGCCAGAATCTTAAAGCAGGGACCCAGATGACTAATGTTTGGAGAGAACCGGGTAGTGGATTACTCTCCGGATGAGCACATTCATATCTGCGAAGAGCCCTTGATGCCTTAACCCAAGGAATGGCTAGTGGTGGCTATCTCGTGCACCCTCTGCGGGTAGCAGAAGATAGTTTGACCAGGAAGCCCTGTCTGTCACTCCTCAAATAATAGTATGCCGGTGCTCATGCACTTTGTCTAAGGACAGGGTCAGCCTGCCAGGTCAATAGCACAGAGTCCCAGGGAGGAGAGCTGGGGGCCAGGAGGATGGCCAGGGTTGGAAAGAGACTTCGGGCGTTCTTGTTAGCGGAGCGGGGCAGGGCAGGGGAGTTTTGGGGTTTGCTGTTGGTCTAACGCTGTGTCCCTTATTGGTGGGAATGTGTCATTCAGATCCTGACCGGGGAGGACTGGAATTCGGTGATGTATGATGGGATCATGGCTTATGGCGGCCCCTCTTTTCCAGGGATGTTAGTCTGTATTTACTTCATCATCCTCTTCATCTGTGGAAACTGTATCCTTTGCTCCTGCCTCCCCACCCCTGCCGCCCACCCTCCCTCAGCTTACAGCACAATGTCAAATAGGTGTGCCCGTGGGTCCTGACTCAGGGCTGAAAACTGGTTGCCCATCCACAGGGCCCCAGGCAAGTGGGGAAAGGCATGTTCTGGGGGAGAAAACAGTTCCCAGCCCAGTGCCACCTTAGCTGGAGGAGGGTCCTGGTGGAAGGAGCCAGGAGCTTTGGCACAGGCGGGATGTAAGTTCGTCTTCCTGTGCTGTCCTGGCTGCGGCTCTGCCCATCTCCAGGAGGCATGTTCTCATCGTAGTTGAGGTGAAAACACCCCTGCATTGCCTCGTGCAGCCACTCACACAGACGCCCCGGTGTCAGGCACCTAGATGCGGGCTGTCTGGCCGCCCTGGCTGCCCTGGTCTTATGGAGGCGGGAGAGTTCGATGACTGAACCTCATCCTTGAAATGACCCTCCTGCTTTCTGGTCAGTGTCCCTCCCTCTGAAGCCACTCTCTGGGACTTTGGTCACAGGCAGAACTGGACAGGCCTCACCAGGCAGGCCTGGCAGGTCCGTGGGCAATGTTTTAGGGCCTCACATGTGGGCACTCCTCCCTGCCCTGGTCGGAAACCTGTAAGGTTGTGTGCAGAGGCGGGTAGCCAAGTAGACTTGGGTCTAAATCACAGCTAAATGTAGTGCAGGAAGCATGGGCCCTGGCCCCACACACAGGCTGGGCAACTGCTGCAAATGACAAACTGGGGTGAGAAAGTGATAGTACCTGCCACTCAGTGGGTCATTGTGAGGGTCAGTGGGGTGAGGCCCAAAGGCAGGTGCCCAGCAGCATCTTGGACAAGCCCTCATCCCCCGGTTGTGGTTTCCCTGTGTGTGAAATGGTGTGACTTTTGGGTGCCTGGGGGTGGAGTTCAGACTTAACAGATGGTAAGAGCTGTTCAGCGATCCTTTCTTTGCTTCTGTAGTTCTCTGACCCACAGTGTTTCCATTCAAGGTTGGGGGTGGAGGGAGACGAAGAGGGCAAACAGCCACTTCAGTTGGGACATGCCAAGCTTTGGCCAGCTCCACCTGACCCTCCAAGGGTTTTGTATGGGCCGCTCACATTGAGAGTTGGCAGGGATATCAGGCCGCCTCCTCAGTGCCCGATTACAATGAACAGCTCTTAAGAGCCTTCTGCATTCTGTTAGAGACAATGCTGTTTATAATGTCAATTACAGCCAGTCATCTCTGTGGGGAAACCATTACTGAAACCCAGCAATTAAAGAGCAAGGCAGGGCTCACTGCCTCCCTCCCTCCCTGCTCTAGCCTGAAAGCCAGCCTGCTCTCTACCCCTTAGAAAATTCCAGGTAGCTAGTAGGGTGATGGGGAGGGACAGGGATGGAGGAGGGACACCCCTGAGCTCACTGCCCCTCAAAGGGAGTCACTGTTGAGCTCTCTCTGTGGGAAACTCTACCCCTGCATGTTCTGCCCCCTCCCTGTCCCCTGTGCCCACTGGAATCCCAAGGCCAAGGGTCATTTTCTTTAAGAACGGACACAAACAGATATCCTACTGAATGTGTTCTTGGCCATTGCTGTGGACAACCTGGCTGATGCTGAGAGCCTCACATCTGCCCAAAAGGAGGAAGAAGAAGAAAAGGAGAGAAAGAAGCTGGCCAGGTAACCCTCTAAGCTGACCCAGGCCCGGGGCCCCCACGTCCAGCTCTGAATGCCATTCTCAATGGTGGTAAAGAGAGGTGTGGGCACGCCCTCTGTTAGCCTGTGTCCCTCCCAGAAGGGCACTGGGTTTAGGACCTCCTAGAGTAGGTTGGGCCTCTCCCCTAATGCCTAGGCATCGTTCCAAAGTGGGGACCATGATGAATTTTAGCTTCTGGGAAGTGGCTGCATTGTCCCACCTGTCTAGGAAGCTAGGGTTTTCTCCTTTGAGAAAAGGAGTCATCGTAGGTAAGGGGAGCAAAGGATGGGAGGGTGGGAGGCACCCACTTGGAGAAATGCACCTTCAGGTGAAAGAGAGATTCCCCCTCACTGTTTTGAAGGCAAAATCGGGCCCTGCATTGTCTTCTGTCATTGTCTAGATGGGACTGTCCTAGGCCACATATCTGCTGAGTACTGAGCAGAGTTCTCCAGGAGCCCATCCTGAATGAGATCCAGAACCTTTCTCTGACTTAGGGGCTGGAGAAGGCCAACCGAGTACCCAGCTTAGCAAGGTGTGGCCAGGAGCCAGGTCCTGGGCCCAGCCCAGTAGCATTTGCGATTGAGCTGCACATGGCCTGTGCCCTGGGTGAAGGAAGACAGACATAGGCACAGAGAATCTGCTCCCCCTGGCCCCCAACAGACCACAGGCAGTTCCCTATCCCTGCTCCCTATCAGTCCAGTAAACATCCCTTTATGTTTTTCTCCTGCTGACCGGCCAGGACTGCCAGCCCAGAGAAGAAACAGGAGGCGGTGGAGAAGCCGACAGTGGAGGAGACCAAGGAGGAGAAAATCGAGCTGAAATCCATCACAGCTGACGGAGAGTCCCCACCCACCACCAAGGTGAGTGGCCACCTCCTTCCAGGAGCTGGGAGGGGAGGCAGGGACCGTCCCAGGCTAGACACCCACGGAAAAGAGCAAGGGTGAAAAGAGGCTCGGTGGGCTAAGGTCAGCGAGGGTGGAGCAGGAGAGCAGGAACGTGAAGAGCGGATGGTGGTTGAATCCCAGCCTCTGTTAACGTCTCGAGGGTCTGCGCAAAGTAATGAGGGTCTATTTTTGAGACAATAGCTCAGCCACTGACTATAATGCAGCTTCAGGGCTACCCCAAGCCTCTGACACCTGGGACATGTCTAACTGGATTCTTCCTCCCCTCTCCCTTGGCTGCCTAGATCAACGTGGATGACCTGCAGCCCAATGAAAATGAGGACAAGAGTGTCTACCCCAACCCAGAAACGACAGGTACAGTTCCACTGCCTGACCCCGGGGGAGGCTGGGGGAGGGACCCAAATTCCACAGCCATATGAAAGTAACCTTGTATCAAGGACCAGTGGTTCCAGTCTTCCTCTACAGCACCTTGCATTCTGAATGTCTCAGGTCTCTGTACTTAAGCATTACCAGTTATCTTCTGGGGGAAACTGCTCCTGGTTTGCTCACAATAATAGTATAAGGTTAAATAAATTATGTTTGCGCGGTGCTTTCATGTCCTTTAGAAGATGGATTCTGTATACATTTAAGGTTTTATTATATCCTATGTTGTAAAATCATTATTAACTTTATATAATTCATTAGTCTAACATATGTCTCAGTATCATGTGCACTAAATAATAATAGTAAATTCCAAATCTGTCTTGTCCTTACTCAGGAGGCAGAGCTGAGTACAAGGACAGCTGCCGCCACAGATGTCCCACTTGTCGCTTTGCAAACTGCTTTCAGGTCTCTTATTATAAAAAGAACTAGTACCAACTCATCTTCTCTCTGAGCTGTACAGTGGCAGGCAGTCTCCTTTGGGAGGGTTTGAATGTCAGAGTTCCTTAGGCCTCCCTCTAGGATTCACTTCTCTGCCTCCTGAAACCCCACATCCTGTACCAGCCCTGGGTCTGCCTCCTTTTACCTACAATTGAAGATATTAGCACCAGCTTCAAGCTTGCAGTCAGTTAGACACAATAAGGGACTATTGGTTTCACTGACATTTCCTTCTCTGTATAGGTTAGGCCGTATTTGGGTTGGTAGCCACATTAGGAAGCTGGCAACCTTCTGCATTTATAAGCAAAACTAGGTTTTCCTTTTGCTTTCCCTCCACTGGTTCTCTGCTGGATTCTCTGCAAGGACACCAGCAGCCACCTTCTCGCGACCCAGGGAAGCAGGCTGCTTGCTGTCATTCCATTCTCTCACCTCCCTCTGCAAGGGAAATAAGTCTGGGCTTCCTGGGGCTTGGACAGAAGAGCAGGGAGGGTGTTTCCAGGTGCTGGGCACTAGGTCTTCTGAAGTGTTAAAACCCTTCGGGGTGGAAACTCTCACAGAATTTCAAAGACATAGAAAAATATTGGCCAAATGCAATGGGAGGATTTAGTCTTGATCCTGCATGACCAAATAGGCTTGGAAATGACATTGTTTTAGATAATTGGGGGAAATTGCATATGGACTGGGAACTACATGATTTAAGTAGTTTTTCTTAATCTTGTTAGTATAATGATACCATTGTACTTCTGTTTTTAAAATACTGAAGTGTTTATAGCTGCAGCCTAAAATATTTAGAGATCACTTTAAAATAATCCAATTTTTTAAAAATGGGAACAGGAGAAGTAAATGAAACAAGATGGGCAAACTGTCAATAGTTGGTGGAGCTGGGTATGGAGGTCCACCATGCAAGGCTCTCTATGTGTAGGATTATTATAAGGAAGATTATTATTATTAAAGTTTAAAAAGAAAGACAGTAATAAAACAAATCTCTCTGGGCCATAAGCAGAGCCCTCCCCACCTGCCTGTGGCTTCAAGAGGCTGCCCTGCACAAGCTGTTTTCTCTACAAGGTGGCGGGGCAGACACACACCTATGACAGTAGCCTCAAACTCTGTCATTTTATTATACTCATGGCTTTTCTCTTCTCTGTTGCTCTAATGAAATAAAAAAGAAGCAGGTCCAGGGGAGAAAGGACTGATGAGGATCCTGTTGCCATCTTGTCAGCCATCATAGAAGTGTCTATCTGTTGGCCCAGCTTTAAGGATTCTTGGAAAGGTTTTGCTTCTAAACTGAAAATCTATTCCCACACTCTGCTGATTCCTCAGGATTCTTGAGATTTTTTTAGGACATGCCCTTTTCCCTGATCATATGCCATACTTCTCTACCCTCCTTCATACCAAGGCCTTTGTCTCCTTTGGTCCCAAGCTTCTACTCCCTCTGGTCCATAGATAACTGAGGCTGTTCTGCCTCAGCTGCCCCAATCACGANCCCTCTGGTCCATAGATAACTGAGGCTGTCCTGCCTCAGCTGCCCCAATCACGATTCAGGCCTTTAAAACCAACTCTTAAGTCCCCCTCCCCCATTTGTTCACAATCTCTGGTTTCCATTTTCTCACCCAAGGACAGAACACTCTTTTTTTTTTTAATTTCAGAGAGAGGAAGGNATTCAGGCCTTTAAAACCAACTCTTAAGTCCCCCTCCCCCATTTGTTCACGATCTCTGGTTTCCATTTTCTCACCCAAGGACAGAACACTCTTTTTTTTTTTAATTTCAGAGAGAGGAAGGGAGAGAGACGTCAACAATGAGAGAGTCATTGATTGGCTGCCTCCTGCACCCCCGATATTGGGGATCAAGCCCACAATCTGGGCATGTGCCCTGGGGAATCAAACCATGATCTCCTGGCTCATAGGTCCATGCCTCTGCCTCTGCAAAGCTGCTCCTGCCTCCTTTAGTACCAAGTGCATCAGACACCCCCAATGACTCCTCCAAGGTCACTTGACCTGTTGTCTCTTCTTGTCAGTATCTTGTTCCTGCCTCTTTCTCCGCTGACCTGCTGTTGTCCTCCCAAACACTGCCCTTTCTGCTTTTGAAGCTTATGTGCAGCTCGCCCCTGCTGTGCCCCTTGGGAGACAGCTCTGGTGAGCATTGTCCTGCCCCACCTTCCACCAGGCTTCCAGAGAGAAAAGGGACAATGCCAGAGCGCTTCTGCTCCCTCTGCCATCACCCCTCTCTGCAGGCTGTTGTGTTTACTTGTCCAGGTTGCACCCAAAGGCGTGCGTGGAGCAGCTGAGTGAGGCCTAACCTGCAGCCTTCACGCTGCTGGCCAGGGCCTCTGCCCTCCCATGAACGCTGGGAGGAGGGGCCTGTTTCTAATTCGCAGAGCAGCCATACAGGCCCATGTTGGCCAGTCAGTCCTTCCCTCTTGGTTTAATCTCCAAAGCTCACGGGTTGATTTTAGCCTTCCATCTTGGTATATACAAGCTTTTAGAAGTATCTGCTTGCCCAGGAAGGAAAGCATTGTGCCAAGATTCTGTTTTTATGTAATTGATTGATTGATTTGAGTGAACATACACAAGTTCTTAAGAGTCACTAAGGACTTAAAATTAACAAGCACAATGAAGAAGAAATGTATAGTACCGGATTAGATGTTGTGGCAGACACTTGAATTGCTGCAAGGGGTTCGAGTAGGAGAGCAGTAAGGTGGGGTTACATCAGGGAGGCTTCATGGGCAAGGGTGGTCTTGACTGGGCTTTGAGTTCAAAGAGTTGGAGAAGGAAGAAGTTATTTCAGAACCATACTATTGTCATAGACACAGAGCTGGAAGAAACCTTGGAGATATTCTTTCACTTAAATAACTACTTAGCAAGCACCTACTGTGTGCCAGGCATCGTGGCAGGCACCGAGATACTGCTCTCCTGCAGCTGACACTTCAGAGGGGAGACAGACAATGAGCAAAAAGCAAACCAGCCAGAAAGGTAGCATCAGGCACTAAAACCAAGGGCTGCGATTGAACCACTGGGCTGCTGCTTTGGCTGTAAAGTCAGTGAAGGCCTCTTTGAGGAGGCAACCTTCGGGCTGAAACCTGAAGGAATCATGTGGAATTCTGAACCAGACATATGGAAATTGAAGGGAAAAGCTATCTAGGTGGAGGGTCTAGCAAGTGCACAATCTCAGAGGTGGAATGCATTTGTCTAAGGAGGAATCCAAAGAGGCCAGTGTGCCTGCAGCAGAGAGAACAAAGGGGCCGGGGCTAGGTCAGAGCAGGTGCCCAGGCAGGCTACTGAGAGAGCATGCAGGATTCCTCGTGAGGAACTTGGGAAAGCACAAAGCTAGTAAATATGTTTTTCTATAAACACAAATGATTAAGATAAGCATTAAATTACCTATGATCAAATTATCATGAATAAGGAAGTGTTGGGTATTTGGAGCAAAACTGAATAGAATACAAACAGCTAGGCAGAAACTTAAGATCCTTACTTAAATTTCACTTGTAAATATCATGATTTAGGTCAACTCTGGTTTTACTTTATTTTGCTTTAAGTGAAAGAGTTTACCTTTCTTTTACATACCCAGGTTTGGTATAGAGGCTTCTACGCTTGGCCTATACACAGTTCTTCATCTTGTGCCTCTCTCCTGCTGAAAATATTAATTGCATTGTTGGTCAACTCTAATTACTCTAGGAAAAGAATCTGATTTATTTAATCTATATTCAGCTGCTCCTCCAAAAAAGCCTTGAGTCCCAAAACGCTTCTTGCTTGATAAAGAGCCACATTCTGTGCCAGGTGGTTTTTCTCTGGCTTCATTTTAACCAGAGGTGATCCTGCAGAGCATTGCTGGTCCATAACACCACTTCCCAAACTCTCTGTCCAACCAGTTTAGTCTCCACCTGATCTTCTTTTGTAAATTCCCCTTTCTTATGAAGCCTACGTTGGTGTAGAAGTTTAATCATCAAAAAATAAGGGCCCCCTGGCTGGATGGCTCAGTTGGTTGGAGCATTGTCCCATGCACCAAAAGGATGGGGGTTCGATTCCCTGTCAGGGCACATACCTAGGTTACGGGTTTGATCCTAGTTGGGGTGCGTCCAGGATGCAACCAATCCATGTTTCTCTCTCACATGGATGTTTCTCTCTCTCCCTCCCTCCCTCTTTCTCTAAAATCAGTAAAAAACATTTCCTCAGGTGAGGATTTAAAAAAGAAAGAAAGAAGGGCTACTATGTGCCAGCATGGTTTTTCTCTCCAGGGTTTTCAGTGCATAAAGAAATGGAAGAGGTAGAAGTGAAGGGAGTAATCCAAAAAACCCAAATATATATATATAGCAATAGTGTGGTGATAGCCAGAGGGAAGGGTGGTG